CATAAACATGACACTACCCCCGGGGTTTACACAGACGAGCCGGCGAAGCAAGAAGAGCGCCAGAAGAAAGGGCCCTAGCCGGCGGGGCCCAGCCAGGACAAAAGGAGGTCCCACAAAGCGCCTACACCGGCCGCATTTGCGGTCGGGGTAGACGACGGATGGGGCCCACCTACGAAGGCTGTCCAGGCCTACACGAGATGAGGCAGGATAAAGAGGGATAATCCCCCTCGATCCCAAATCATTGAGGCCAATTTCTAGCCATGGAATAATGGCGTACTGCTCCAAGTATCCACCTAATTTACATCAAATTTGCGAACGTACCATACCACCAATGACAGTCGAACAAACTCGTGATGAAAACTAACCTCACTCAACCTGTTTTAACAATTTGTTTTTCGTTTATACGAACTATTTAATATTATTACTTTAAAAAAATTATTTAAGAGACTACGATATGGAGAACGCTAATGTAGCTAATTTCGTTGTGTTTAAAACAATTTTGTTGTACACTACCTTTATCTTAGCAGCTCCTATTACAACATTTTTTGTATCTAAATTTTTCATTTTTGAAGGTAAGTTGTCTTTTGAGTAAATCTTGTACTTAGCTAAAAATAAAATGTTTTAGGTATTATCGGTACGTCGGATTTAACAGGCAACGTATGGTCCGCAGTTTTAGCTGTAATAATGCTACATATAGCACTTGGCCTTTATATATACAAGGCTTATTATGAGGCTGAAAAAGTAAAACCATTAGAGAAAAAGGACTAGTTCTGAACTGATCGCAGCTTTCTCTAGTATTGGGACTGTGATAATTAGTTAATAGTGATTTTCGATATAGGATTTTTATAAAGTGGTAGATGTAACTTGTATATATTTAATAATTTTAGAAACAATTTGCAAAATATTTTTTTTTTTACAACAAAAACGTTTGTTAATGGCATGTTGAATGTCTGTATGTTGCAGTCCACATTTATTACTGTGCCCTTTATATTTAAATTATCTGGCTGCAATCATTGTTTTACATTTTTTGGTACAAAGCATAAACATGGAATTAATTGTATCATGTGTCGGTATTTAATATTTGCATAGGGTAATTTAATAAATTCTATTCAAAATAAAATGCTATGGTGTTTTTTATAACAAAAGGACTGTTCATCAGTGTTGTTCGAATTGAATCGACTGATTTTTCAGTTGACAAAATTTAGAAGAATAAAAGGTGTATCATAATTGTTTTTACCTACTTGACATTGTTAAACATTCTGATATTTATTAGACTAGTTAAAAGAAAATAAAAAATTACAATAGTTGTAAAAATTTGTAACATTTATAAAACCATACCTGCAAAACACATTTTTTGATAATCATTATTATTTTCTGTATATATTTTAATCCAAATGTTACCTTCCCATTTTTTTGTCCAAACTTTTATGTAAAAGCTATTGGTATATAAATAATATAAATAATTTTATCCACGACTATTGTATAATGTACCCATTATACGTCTGTTTGCTCGACCTTATTAATACCCATTAATCACGGTAGTGATTAATGAGTCATTAATCACTACTGTCAGATGCTTCCTTGATTTAGCTATAATATTATATTGTTCTGCTACAAACAGTCGGTTTTTTTAAATTTTATCGTGTAAACCACTAAATATTTTCAATTCAGTGCTGTACATATAAAAAAAAATAAAAAAGTAAATTTTCCTAGACCAGATTCGAACCCGGGACCAGCGGTTGGAAGGGAAGGAGCATCTACACTGAGCCATCAGCGATTTCGTTGGCGCGTGTCGTATATCTGTTGCTTAACAGACCATGTTTTTCGAAACATTTCATAAATCTAAGTAGCTTTTAAAACAAAACAAATTTGACTCAAACCTGTCAACATTATTGTTTGTGTGCATAGATTTCTCAGTGTTTTGATATTTTGTGTTAAATTGTGTTAAAAAACGAACTAAAAGCAAAAAAAACTTCAACAAAAATATTTAGTAGTCGTGGATAAAGTATAGTATTCTACTCCCGTATAATGGCTATTATCCACTCGGTGATTTAGGCCACTCGCCTGCGGCTCGTGGCCGTAAACTTCACCTCGTGAATAATACCCATCATTATACGCACGTTGAATAATATACTATTTTTATTACATATAAATTAGTGAACAAATAAACCGTGAAACTGAAAAAAGTTCGAATATTGGATTAGTATAATGTATCATACCTCCTGTAACAGAAATTACTTTTTTCTTTATGACAAATCAAACTATTTCAACATAAAAATGTTTTAATAAAAAAAAATATTTGTTTCATCATCTACACATACCCTTGGACTGTGGAAAAACACCCTATATATATATTTTACGTGTATTCATTAAATGACTAATATAAATTTGTGTGGGTATTTGGATCAACTTTTTGTATTTATAGCTATTATTTTATTATTGTAAATGATTTTATGCCAGTTTATGCAGTGGAAAATTACTCGGAATCAAAGCGGAATGCACCGACTTTAAACGATATTCAAATATTTTCGCGCTAAAATTTAAATTTTAATTTGCATATGTACCCCAACCATTCCAGTGGAAGTAATAGTTAGAAACTATGATGACACAAACAAAACAATAATACCAGATGTAACATAAGGTCCATGTTTAAGGGTTGTATAGCAATATAGTGAAAGGAAAATAGGTTGTAAATCAACGACAAAGCGGGGCGAAAACGTCAATCTCGAACCTGAGCGGGAGAGCGAGCCACGAATTATTCAGTTGTGTTTGGTTGTGTTGTTAACACAGCTGTAATCATTCGAGCTACGCAACCTCAAAAATAGAAGGTGACGACGGTTAAGTACGGGTATAAAGTAATAGTGAGAAATGTTAAGTTACAATATGATTCCTATAGTTCAAGATAATATGAATGACATTGGGTCAAGAGTAAATATTTTAACAAATGTTTCCTCAAATGCATATTACGGTTATCAACCCCAAGTATATTTAGAAGAAAAAAACGCTGCCCAAACAAACCAAACTGCACGAATGGATAATAATACAAGCAATATGGATATTCAATATAACAATAACAATAATTTATGTTATGAAGCAATGCAAACGGAAAATATTCCGCGGCAAGTAAACAGGAAACGTCGTTGGGATCACCGCGACGAATTTGTTGAATTCAAAAAAAGGCGGCAAACAGGTAATCATAAATTTTCTTTATACATTATACATAAATTAGATACTTACCTACATATAACTTTTTTCGTATACTGTATGTCACTTTAATGGTAATATAATGAGGAGGAGAATTTATCCTTTAAATAAATTAATAAGGTATAAATTGTATGTCACTATAATGGTATAGTGTTTACGAAGATAGTTGAAACCGTATAAAAACTAAAAGTCGTCATATCTTTAGTAGTATGCCCGGACTCCCCGGGCACAATAAAATAAAGAAATGCCGACTTGCACAATAAAGAGATGCCGACTTTTAGTTTTTATACGGTTTCAACTATCTTCGTAAACGAGCCGTTTCTACGTTCCGATTTTTTAAATTTAAAAATAAACCATATTTCTTGCTCACACAGAGTAAATCGAAAATAACTCTAAAAACAGTTCGTTCTACAACAATTTAAGTATGATTAGATAATTTTTAGTGAGAAATCAACATTTCTAGGCCAATAATTATATTAGATGTTTTACATTTGAAATTGTATTTCTAACAAAAAAATTCTTAGATTTTTTTTTCATATAAGTGGTTTCAGTGTTAAATATTCAAATTATTTCATAGAAGTGATAAGCTGTAAAATTTTAAAAATCATCTCTAAAAGACAAGCTCAGTTTTCGAATAAAATGAAATAGATCTTGTTTCTTAGAAATACCATTAAAAATTAAAAGTTGCTGTAATTGTCATAAATGGACTTAGCAAAGTACTTATATCACTGGCTCAAGTTTCATCAATCTACATCAAATGTCGTATATATATTTGAGAAAATATATGCATATATAACTTCTTCAAAAAGAGACATTCTACAGTCCACAATCTAACTTGATAAGAAACATTGTGCTTAAAATAATTTATTTAATTATATTATAATTTAAGTTTCTCAATAATTTGGTTGTATTTTTAACAGTCTCTCAATATTATTTCATAAATATTCTAAGGCAAATAGAAAATGTAATTCATGTTTTAATATTGTATAAGAGTGTATAATGTACATTTATAATAAGTGAAAAATTTATTACAGTAATGTTTCAAAATGTAAAGCTCTCGGTATATTTAGATATTTACATGTCAGATTATAAAATTATTTTAACAGTTTCAAGAAGAATAATGGAGTTTTTCAAGTTAATGATAGCCCATATAATCCCATCCATCGCGATGACGCGGCAACCAACCCAAAATTGTTCAACTATTAATGATACTTAGTTACAGAAGCCTACAACCAAGCCGAGGCATGTTCTTTTTTGATTATATTTACCTTATTAGCGATCTTTCAAACTTTTTATATTGTTGAAATCGTAAAAAACGGCCTATTCAAATGTATTGTTTTGAAATAGCAAGAATTTTTTTAAAGTACAGTAATATTCACCCACAATAATCACTAATTAGGTTCTTAAGATATGTAAAATTATGACAATTTTATTTTTGTGATGCTTTTAATCAGATACTATTTTCTTTTTTATAAAACGTAAAACATATAAATTATGTTTTAAATGGATTGTTTATATTATCAGTGTTCTTTCACAAATGAAGTGTAAATTGTGATGGATCTATTTTTAAGAGTAAACAGATACAATCAAAAGATTTAGATAATAGGTGATAGATGTTAAAAAAATTTTAATCTATAGGATAGGATGTATTTAAATGAAAGAGCACAAATGCTGCCAGATAGTTTTGAGGCCAATTTTTGCCAGTTACAGGATGATTTATTTGGCATAACATAAAATGTTACACCACTGGACAAAATTATGAACAATTTTACACAGTGAGTACTAAAAAAAATACATTTTTTACTTTGAGGTTGGGTTCTAATAATAGCACTTCAGGTTTATATTGAGCTGAAATTTTATATGCTAATAGGATATATTACTGTCACCTCATAACCTCATGCCAAAGTTTAATGATAATTGGCCTCACAGTTAATGAAAAATATCTGTTAATTTCAATATAAACCCTGTGACTCGTCGATGAAGCAATTTGTTTGGCATAATTATCATATTTTGATCTCGATACTGTCTACTATGTGGTAGTGTAATCATTTAAATACACCCTGTATATATAGAGTGTTCTATTAAAATGATCCACATTTTGTTTCTATTTTTTATTTTAACATCTGATAATATAATAGCATTAGTAGCATCACTTTTTCATGAAATTTCTGGTATTTTATGTAGCATATACAGGGTGTTTCAGAAAGACCTCCCGTAAATACAGGGGGTGCTAGTACGATAAAAAATAAGAATTTTTTGTCATATGAACTATATGTCTATCTCATCTTGTTTTCGAGATACAGAGCGACAAAATAAATTTTTTTAAATAGAATTATTACGAGTTTCCAAACGGTGCGAAATATATTTATGAAATTTGGTGTTCCGGAGTTTTTAAGGATGCCAAATACGCTGGTCTAATTATTTTTTTTATATTTCATAGAGCGCGCTAGTTATGCTACATTCCTATTACATTTTAAGGTCTAATTTTTTAAAGATTAGGTTTTTTACCATTCAGGCTCCAATTTTTAATGTACAATTTTATTTTCTAAAAATAATGTGCTCTTGTTAGAACTTCCTAATGTGGACGGTTTTCGAGAAAAAAAGGCTTTTAATTGAACTCTTGCAATATTACCGTGTATAAAATAAGTGACTTTTCTCAAAGTAGGTTTAGGTATGTCAAAACTTATTGATGGATGTCTCTTAAACAACGCATACATTCTTACTAATATTTTAAACTCTAATTAACCTTATAACAAAATTTTAGTGATTGTTAGTGACTGTAGTTAGTAATGACTAATTAGTCACTAAAATTTTGATATAAAGTTAATTAGAGTTTAAAATAGTACTAAGAATGTATGCGTTGTTTATGAGACACCCATCAATAAATTTTGACATAAGCCTTCTTTGAGAAAAGGCACTTATTTTATACATCGTAATATTGTAAAATTTCAATTAAAAGCTTTTTTTTCTCGAAAACCGTCCTCATTAAGAAGTTTTAACAAGAATACATTATTTTTGGAAAATAAAATTGTACATTAGAAATTGGAGCCCTAATGGTAAAAAACCTAACTTTAAAAAAATTAAAACTTAAAATGTAGTAGTAATGTACCATAACTAGCGCCCTCTATGAAATATACAAAAAATAATTAGACCAGCGTATTTGGCATCTTTAAAAATCCTGGAATTCCAAATATCATAAAAATATTTCGCACCGTTTGGAAACTTAAAAATTTTATTTTGTCACTCTGTATCTCGAAAACAAGAGGAGATAGACATAGTTCATAAGTAAAAAAATTTTTATTTTTTGTCGTACTACCCTATATTTACGGGAGGTCTTTCTGAAATACCCTGTAAATCACATTTTTGTCTCGACATACATACATTCCTGTTGATACACATTTATATATACAAGGTGTCTAGAAATGGTGGGAAATCTCTCAGATTTGAGTAGATTTATTAGTTAGAGTAGTTAAGAGTTGAAAATGAAGTTTTAATTGTAACTTTTTTGTTTTCCATTAAATTTGGATAATTTTTGAGTAAAAACTCTGTTTAGGCATTTTCTACTGTGTTTAATCTACTGATATATAGGCCTATTTTTTAAAGTTTTTAAGATTTCTGAACATTTGTAAGTGAAAAACGTATACTTGTTTAATTTCGATACAAAAATTCACTTTTGAGATGAACATGTAACTATGAATATACCATACTATTTTCGATATATCTCGATAGTAATAAATATATACGTGAAAACAAAAATTAGTCATTTTTGCTGCAAAATAAGTACGTACTATAAAATCTCATTTGCCTTGCCAATTGTTTTTAGGAAGTATATCTTTTTTACTTAAAAATGGCTATAAAATATAAGAAAAAAGGCCTACAAATTTTTTTCGAGCCAAGATTGCCAAAGGTACTTTGTTCCCGGATTGCCAAAGTAGTTATCGGTAAGTTTGTATCGCTATCGTACATTAGTACGGAGCCTTCATAAATGTTTACTAGCCACTTGACCGCCAAGTTTAGGCAATGAACATTACAGGGCTGGTACTGGTGACAAAAATTCCCTAAATCTTGGCGTCACCAATGATTCATTTACAATGAACAATGACAAACCATTACTCTCGAGATAATGCAATCACTGATCGGTTGAAGAAAATCTCATGAAAAATTACACCAATCACAGCCGGTGAAATAGAATGTTGTTTTAATATAATCTGGATCTTATCGTTTTAATTTTACCGAAATTAATAGCCAATGCAAAGGAAAATTACTGTACCAAACACAGTTACCGGTCACGTGGCTTGCAATCATTTATGAAGGCTCTAGGCTCTGTAGAAATAGGAAATAAGTTTTTGCCCAAAAATTATTTAAATTTAATAAAATATAAATGATACAATGAACAACTGATTTACGAGTCTTGAATTCAAGAACTAGTAAATCTACATGGAGAGGCCCAATATAACAATGATTCAACTTTATATTGTTTTTGCAAGGCCTAGCCATATCCGAGAGGTTGTCCATCGTTTCTTGGTCGCCCTGAATTCAATTCAATTAAGGTGATCTGAAATCTACTTTCAGATAAATGTCCTCTCCATTGTCCTTCAGACCAAGAAGTATACTCTCCACCTGCCCAAAAGCCTGTATATTTACGAAAACCAACTCACAATATTCCTGATCTACCTCGATGTATAATGGGACATTATATTTAAATAAAAAATAATACTAAGTTTGTAACATTACCTGTATATATTATTTTAATTCTTGTAGAATAAAAGTTTGTGTTTCTACAGAAAGTAATGTGGAAAAGCGAAAAAAAAGTCATATAGAGGACCGGGAACATCAGAGTTTGTTGGAAGACATTCTAAGGGAAACACATGGTGTTAGTATTTACCATTGGTATTGAAACGAAGCTTAGTAACTTATTTTTAATTTAGTTCACATTATCAATTTATCAAACTGTTCAGGTACAGATATCAGTAACTTGTGAATTGTTTCGTATTTTTGTAATTATTTTGTAATAAAAACTAATGTTAATTATTGAAAGTTTATCGTGTTTCATTTCTATATATAATAAATATACTCAAGCAAAAAAAATATAACACTTTGAAGCACTATTAACTATTTACAACAAAAAATGTGGAACTTAAAATGGGTCTTGATCTGGTTGAGAGTTCGATCGATCTAAAAAAAAAAAGCATTTGTTAATAACACATTTTAGATAATATTCGCCTATACAGTAGTATCTTCAACTTTGAATATGTATAATCCGTTCCTGGAAACGGATCCTATTAGAAATTTAGATAGAGTAAGTTGAATAATTCCCTACCTTTATTTGGCGTTGCCGATCTGGACTTGACTTTAATGGGTAGTCTTGTCGGTACCTGATCTAATCCCTGAAAATTAATACACAAAGTTATGGTGTTATTCAACATTCAATTATTATCTATGAAATATATCTTTTCGTATCCTACAATTCAAAATATATTGTCAATACTAACATGTACTTTTAATCTAAAATGTAATGTTATGAATTATTATTTATAATCTAATATGTTGCCACAAACAAGAATCTAACAAACTGACGAATATACAGGGCGTCCCAGAAATAAGTGCATTGAAGATTTATTAGTAAAAAGCTGTTGCGTTTGATTAGCTAAATACATAGTTAAAATTTTGACATATATTTCTAGGACACCCTGTATAATAATATACAGGGTATAGCAAAAGTACCGAAACGGCAGAATAACTCGGAGGGAGAGCATTTTAGAGAAAAATGTTATAGACAAAAGTTTCAAGATTTCTCAAGATGGCTATCCGATGGTGATCTTGACATTGACCTTGAATATCATTTCAAGGTCAAATGTGATTTTTCAAATGGGACCCTATACTTTTGACCCCAGAAATGAAAAGGGGAGAATTTTACATTCAGATATGACCTTGAGTGACCCCTCCCTTTTGACCTTGGGGCCCCCACAAGGTCAAACAAAGGTGCAGAAACGGCAGAATAACTTGGCGGGAGAGCATTTTAGAGAAAAATGTTAAATACAAAAGTTTCAGGATTTCTCCCTGGCGATCCAATGGTGACCTTGTCCTTAAAGATCATTTCAGTTAAATGTGATTTTTCAAATGGGTCAATGTTAAGGTCACCATCGGATAGCCAGGGAGAAACATTTTAATCTAAAATGCTCTCCCGCCGAGTTATTCTGCCGTTCCGGTACTTTTGCTATACCCTGTATAAGGAAAAAGATCAAAGCGCTGACGATAGAGTAGAATTGTTGGATTACGTATATGTATTTGGTTTGTATTGTGGGGTAGCGTAACTAGATAAATAAAATGCAGAGATCTGCAAAATTGAGTAGGCATGTAGTGTAGGTCAAACATACTGTAGGCATCGGTTTTTTCAAATTTTTTATTCAAATATTGTCAAGTGACTGACTTTTTATCATAAACTGTAAATAGCAAAACAAACAATATTTTCGTAATAAAAGAACTGAAAATATAAAATTTAAATTTTAAAACGAAACTGGGTAAATCATCAGATATATTTGCTAGTTACAGTGTTACAAGAATGTTCCAATTTTAAGTTAGAAAATATGAGGGCCATTGAAATATAAACGAGAATATTTTTTTTTTTATTGATAAAATTAAGTTCACAAAAAATTTCTCATTTTTCTACATAATCACCTTCCTTTGAAACACATTTTTCCCACCTGATTAGAAGCTTTTTGATTCCGTCACTGTAGAAAGAAGGATGGCGGGTCATTAGCCAGTGCGTACAAACGCCTCCACCTCTGCGTCACTAGCGAAACGCTGCCCTCCCAAAGCCTCTTTCAATGGTCCGAACATGTGATAATCACATGGGGACAGGTCCGGACTGTAGGGTGTGTGTTCGAGAGTTTTCCAGAACATTTCTTCCAATTTCTGGCATGTTTGGTTTGCCGTATGTGGTCGAGCATTATCATGGAGCAAAATGATGTTCCTTATGGGTTGGCGGCGTCTTTTGCTTCGATAAGCGGCCCTAACCTGCTCAAGAAGTCTGCAGTAGTAACCAGCATTAATTGTTCTCTGCTCGTGTAGAAAATCCAGCAGGAGTCCCAAAAAACTATAGCGAGAACTTTACCCGCTGACAAGTGCGATTTGGCCTTGACTGGAGCGGCCTCTCGTTTTTTTTGCACTTCCACTTGCTTACTTTTGGGAGTATAATAGTGGACCCAAGTCTCATTGCAAGTCACTATACGGTCGAGAAATGCGTCCCCTTCGTTATGGTACCATCGCAAATGCCGTTGGCAAATGTCAAGAAGAACATTCTTCTGTTCCCCCGAGAGAAGGCGTGGCACCCAACGAGCCGACACTTGACAAACCAAGCTCATCTCGAATGACGGTAATGGATACTCCCGATACTGATCTTTGCTTCACATGTGATTTCTGCGACTGTCAGACGACAATCGTTCTCCAGAAGGTCACGAACTGCTTGAATGTGTCCATCAGTTAAGCTGGTTCTGGGCTGCCAATCGTGGGATTCATTTTTAACCGTCTCTCGTCCTTCAGTGAAGGCTTTGTGTCAAAAAAACATGCAGGGTTGTGAAAGAGTGTTTTCAGCAAACTGCTGTCGCAATTTTTGCAAAATTTCAGCAGGGCGGACCCCCCTCCCATGTCAAAAATTTTATGATAATCTGTTGCACAAAAGATGGTTGTACTTTCTTCTCGCTCATCTTTGCCACTACTTGGCTAACGGTCTTAGGGGCGTGTCAACTGTGATCCACTCGTCCTATCCCTACCAACATTCCCTGTCCGTACCTGAGCCGATCGGTGCCCTTTCAAGATGTCCACCTTGACATTTTTTTTTTCAATCCAAAAATCCAACTTTTACTAAAAAAATTAAAAGAAACAATCCTCCGATCTAAAATATAAAACATTGAAGCCCTAAAGTTACATGAGATGTGAATTATTAAATTTTTTAAAGTTTTATAAAAAAATTTGAAACGAATGTCTTGAAAAACAATAGAATTATAAATAAACCTTTTTTTTTAAGTTGTAGCCTTGATGCCTTGACACTCTGCATTTTGAAAAAGAAAGCCCCATTACTTTCGCTCAAAAAATATACATATATATTTAATGGCTACCTACTGACCTATTTTCTAGTAACACTGTATGATATTTTTAAATCACCTTATTATTTATCAGTAATTAATTCTATGTTTACCTCGCCATTACAAGAGAAGTCAATTGTCATCTCAATCTCCTCGCAGTTGCTCTGTAAAAGAAAATATTTTGCTACCGTTTCAAAATAAATAATATTTCTTACTTGTGTCGCAGTTTTAGTGTCGGTACCTTGCGTATTTTCTAAAATACCTCCCACTGCACCTTCTTCTTCAATATCGTCACTCAAGATTCTACTCTGGTCAGCTTCGGCTAAGTCTCCATTCTGAATGTTATCAACAACCTAGAAAAAATTCAAAAATTGTAGTTTATTCTATAATCATGATTCACAAAGGTTTAAATTCTAAGGTAAAAAAGATAAATTAATGCCTTTCTGCAAATTTTTCAATTTTGACAAAAGGATATGTAAAGCTTATACAGGATGTTGCAATATTTCATTGATAAACGAGGCGTATGGGTGATTCACAAACGGTGACCAAAAATTAAACCTCATATTTTTTTGGTGAATTATCATGACTCACAAAGGTTTAAATTCTAAGGTAAAAACGATAAATTAATGCCTTTCTGCAAATTTTTCAATTTTGACAAAAGGATATGTAAAGCTTATACAAGATGTTGCAATATTTCATTGATAAACGAAGCGTTATGGGTGATTCACAAACGGTGACCAAAAATGAAACCTCATATTTTTTGGTGAATTTTAAGAGGAGTCTTTCATATAAAATTTTTATCTAGGATGCTTCGTTAAAAAGATACAGGGTGTTAAACTGAAAAAATATTTTGAATTTTTTATATAATTTAAAAACCAGTAAGTAAATAATTTGAAATTGGGCATGTATTTATGTAAATATTGTCCAAAATCTGGGGCCTTTTTCTAAAATTTAGATGATCCAGTGGCAGAGGGTATCGGTAGCATATTTTCCTAACTAAAATAGTACACCACTGCGCCACGGTAACAACCATGATATTTTTGGATTCGGTTTTCAATTTTCTACAAATTACTATACAGGGTGTCGCGAAATTCATGCAACAAAATTTGGTCATAAATTCTTTAGACAAATTTAGGAGACCCGTATTTTTTCTTTTTGCCAACTGGTCCCCCTCTTTCGGAGTTACAGCCCCCTGAAATCTGCCCCTAAGAATAGTCTCTTTTATATCTCAAAACCATGTTGTACGAAAATCATTAAATTTGGTACATAGGGGTTTTATGACATGTTGGCGAGAAACCCCCTTAAGACACTTTTTCGTGGGCCCCCTTGTCTTTGGAATCAGAAAAATTTGGTCGCAAATTAAATTTTAATTATTAGTTAGCTAGAAAGCCATTGAATTTAGAAACTTTTTGTCTCTTGATGTGTTTCGTAAAACGCAATGTTTTTGAGGAAAATGGCGAATCACGATATGCATTAATTAATTAATTAAAAATATTTTTTGAAGTTTAATACTGTATCTTTTTAACAAAGCGTTCTAGAAAAAAACTTTATAGGAAAGACCCCTTAAAATTCACCAAAGAATACGAGGTTTCATTTTTGGTCACCAATCACTCTGTATAAAGAAAATTGAGATGCCAGCCAATTACTCATGTCATTTAACATATTCTCTGTCAACTTCTGTTTAACATTTAGTCTCTCTAAGACACTTGCATATTTTTTAAATGTTTTTGGATGGAATTGTGTAGTTTTTACAAAATTTGGTAACTAATGAATGGGTTTTTTTTATATTATAATCAATCGAATTTGGTTTTATCAATGGCAATATTAATAATCCATCGTAAACTGAGGAATTATTAACAATGTTTAGCATTTTATAAAACATATAAAAATTTAATTAATTTTTATTTCTTGTATGTTGTATAAATCATAAGCACAAAGAGAACTGTATCATCAAGTATGAAAAATGAAGTGTTTGCGGACCTACATTCATTATGAACTTTTTTCTTAATTTTTGTCGGAAAACCATCTGCAGGAATTTTGTTGGAATAATTGCAACATCCTGTATATTACAATTTTCCAAAGAATATAAACTTGCATACCTTTGCATATTAACACCAATAAACAAACAACAAAAACAAATGTCCTTCATTCAATAAAAAATAATAAGCAATACAAATAATATAATATAATCACCTGTGATGTACCAGTATTATTACTTTGAGATTCATATATTGGAACTGAAGCACAATTTTTAGCGTTTAGCTCAATATCATTGCTGCAATTCATAAGACACTGCTCAGGGTTAGTTTCTTGTATTAACTGGATAAATGAAAGCTCTCCACATAATAGTTCATTTAAAGTTTGTATTAAATGCACTTTAACGTCACGAACACTAAAAAAAATCAGTTGGTTATCAGTAAATAATACATACCACTTGGGAAAGTTTCTTATAATTGGAATAAATGTTAGTAACACTTTACACGATCAGCAGTATGTGTATCAATAAATTTTCAAACATACCGGGTGTAACTATAAGTGGGAGTCGATTTTTTAAATGTGAATCTGAAATTCTTTTTTTTTAATGAAATAAATAGTCAAGTTATAATTAGTTTTTTAAAATGCACCTAAACTATTATCTGTGCCGCCACTGGGCAGCACCCGAACTTGATTGAAAGTGTTACCTTTTTAAATCAACTATGTGATGGAGTGCGAAATTACAATGGAAAACAATTTTGTAACATTGCTTTTGTATGACCTTGCGACATGTTATTTTTAAGTCACCATATTACCTTGAGTGGACGAATCATCGACTATTAAGAAAATTTTATTTTCAAATGTTTTTAAAAACTTTATATTTTTCGCGTATTAACTAATATTGGCATGTGGATGGGAATATATAAGAAAAACTATTTTTTAAATAAAAAAAATAGTTTTAAAATAATTTTTGCTTTACAAAATGTACATAATAGAAAACAAATAAAAAATACTAAAGTAATAAAATAGATTTGAAATATCTTTTTAAAATCAATTCAAGCTTTTAATAAAAAGTATTTGTTACTATTTTTTAAAGCACTTTGTTTAGTTTGTGAATCTCAGAGTTGATGACTTCTGACATTGGTCTAGTTTAGGTGAATTAAATATTATCAATTCACCTGATGTGATATGATAACAGGAGGCTAGGCGAGCAAAGGAAAAGTCGACGTTAATTCAGCAAAATGAAAGTGGCTGACATTTCATTCAATGGCTGCATTTTATTACTTTTAATTTAGTTTCCAGTTTATCGGTTTCCGAGGTAGTGTTTGTAATAAGGCAGGTACTTGACTTTGTGTGTAAAGTATTAATTTTTAGTGGAATCAAAATTAAATTTATTTATATAGTAAAATTTTAAGTGAGATTTACTGAAGCATCTTAGGAATGTAAGTGTATGAAAATTACAAGAAAAATGTTAAAAAAAATTCATTTTCATAACGGAAATTAAAATTTTTAAAGGTCAAAGGCAGCCTTCCTACATACCATTTTACGACTGTCACAAAAAAAAATGTATAGTCTCTTAAATGCTGGCAAATGCTTTTTACTATGTAAAAAAAATTTAACTTACCTTTTTCCTCGATACTGTTCAAGCACCTCGTCCAAAACATTTGAAAAGTGTTTCTGAAACACAGTGTCTTTTACTAAATCCTTAAAGGATTCAGATCCTAATAAAATCTGCTTCAAAGACGACAGAAGGGCACTTTGAATAACTTCATCTTCGTGCTCATTTAAAAATGGAATAGCTCCTTTAAATGTGTTTTGAACTTCTGCATTGATCTAAAATTAATCACTGAAATATTGTAACCTGCATTTTAATTCTAAAAGCAAAAAATAAAAAGAATGAACCAATGAAGAAACAAATTTAGTTAATATAATCTTATACTTACACTGGTGTTTCTTGTTCCCAATGAGTTTTTCATGGGTTTGGACCATACGGTAGATTGCAAAGAAAAATATTCGGGAATTTGTGTGCCTTCAAGGTCACTAGAGGTTTGTTGAGATTCTAAAGACTGAAAAAAAATAAAGTATGCATAATCTATTACTCCACTTTTCACTAATAATGTATCATCTTATGGCTGATTTACATTTTGTTAAGTAGCAAGTGCAGGTAAGAAGTGCAGGTGTTAAGTGATAAGTAAAATCAAAGTGTAAACGCTCACGCTGTTAAGTGATTAGTGCAAGTGCGAAGTGCGAGTGCAAAGTAAAGTGAATAGAAGCACGGTCTATTTTCTCTGTTAAGTAGCTAACCCCGCACACCCGCGTACTCCCCGCAATCGTAGCGCCGCCCAAACGTGGCCCGCCCGAACTACACTATTTAACTGTTTGACAGGCCGTTATTTTTGACAAGTAAATAAGTACGAACGATATTCCTATCATGAAATGGACTGAAGAACTATATATAGCATCACAGATTTTAGGAATCATCAATGATATAGCTGCTTTGGATACTCTAAATAGATGCGAAAGTGTGTGTAAGCTGCATCCAGTATTAATCATTATACAGAAATATTTGTAGATTCATTTTTGAAGATAATACACATCTCATAAATGTATCCGATTTTGCTATAGTTGGTCCAACAATAGTCAGTAATTCATTAAATTTATCTTCCGTCATTCGCATTGAATTACAAAATTCATTTGGATCCTCATTAATCAGTTCCTGGAAAGGCTTATTACTAGCTCCATACTGAAATCTTCTGCTTATACATTTTCTCTGGTATAATCTCTTAGGTTTTTCGATTTCAACTAACAATTCATGTTCGATTTTTGATGCGATGACTGCGACTGTCTTGTTTAAAATGTTTCACAATAATTCTAATCGTTGTTCGTCCTCCATTCTGTACCGACACTTTGGACTTGTAAGAAGCACTTACCATTGTGTGAACTTTTTGTTTACACTTAACACTTAACACCATAAAAACAGGTTAACTAATCACTTCTCACCTGCACTTGTTACTTCTCAAAATGTAAATCAGCCATTAGACAAAATAGCATTTACATAAAGTAGAATTACTGGCAATTAAAAATAATCAAAACTCCGCATAATATAGTTGTTTTCATAAGTAAAATTGTATACAGGGTGAATCAGGAGAATCGCACCAAACTCCAGGAATTGATTATACATTTTAAAATAATAAGACTAAAATGTTATTACCTATGTGATTTTCATTTGTTTTCAAGCCATTTTAATAAAAAGAAATTAATTCTATTAATCATAGCGTTCTTTGATTAAATGTTAAAAAAACAACACCATTGACCTCTAAACACTTTCTCCTTCGTCTACAAAGGGCGTCTATAACTCTCCTAATTGCTGCATGTCTTTCTTTAATAAGTGCTGTTGTAGTGCCTCCCGAGTGTTCAATCTAACTTTATACACTTCATTTTTGAACCAGCCCACAGTGGCCAGAATTCTGAAAAAGCTAGACAAAAGTCGAAATTTTAAAGTCGTTGGTTTGCGTTTAATACTTCAGAATATTTTAGAGAAGAAGTCACTGCGTAATTCTTTAAAGAGACAGATAGCTGGCCCATGTCTGTAGACTACAGCAACTATCAGAAGTATACTGTAACACATTAGCATATTTCACTAGCCACTGACACTTCGAAAAGTAGGGAATTGAAAATACGTGCAAATTTTTACTAGCGTACGAATGGTTGTGCGCAATAGGGGTAGGTGTTCCTGGAGGTAAGTAGGCTCATCTAGAACCTCATTTTTCGAAAGTTGCATGTTATTATTGTTTTAACAAAAACATCTTGCATTTTTCATCGATTTCAGATCACATCAATCGTAAATTATCAAAATAGTTGTGATCCCAAGATTTCCCGCACTATTAAAAGTTGGAAAATGCGTACAGGAGTGTCAATTTCATGTATCAAAAAAGAAAACCTCCGGATTTTTCCAAATTTGGGTTCCGAGTCATTTTGTGTGCCTCCGTGTACAGCCGGTTTACTATTGTAAGAGGCCTTAGTTATACAATAGCTGCCATTTTAGTGTCTCTTCGCATTCCAAACAAGCTTTCTAATTCAAATTGTTTTTTTTTATGAACATGCATTTTTTCGTGTTTCCTATTTTTACAGGCTTTTATTTAACTTGCCTTGTTAGTATGGGTCAAATCTTGCAACTGAATTTTAAAAGTTATCCCCAACCGATTGAGCAGAAATTTTGCATAAACGTTTAGTTTAGATGACAATGCATGGTTAGCTAAGTGACGTCATTCTAAATCCAATATGGCGCACTCCCAAAGATGGCGGGTTTGCTGAGAATACGAAAATAAAATGACGTCACTAAAAACCTGTTTAAAAAAAATTATATATGAACTTATTATCTATGATCTTTCAATTCATAATTTATCATTTTCGACAGTAAAATTACGTGCATGAAAAAAGAGTTTTTTCGATTTTTGAAAGGAGAATTCCACGAAAATTTAGATATGCAAATCATGTTTTTAGTTCAACATTTTTTAAAAGGGTGCAAGATAGATGAAAATGAGAAAAACTTTTCAACCAAACCTATGGTGATAATGTTTTCATGCTCTGACGGTTATGTGATAGATGATGACGATGCGAATGACACATATGTATTAGAATAAGCTAAATAATTAGAATAAGTTTTATAACAAGAATAAGTTTTATAACAAGAATAAGTTTCAATAGTATTTAGAAATTGTTTCGTTCGAAATAAGGAATTCATTGCAAATACATGTCTTATATCGCACATATTTACCTTTCGTACTTTATTAACAATTATTATTAATTACCTCAATAACCTCACACTCCGATATTACATACGCTTTACGCGACCTCAATACCAGAGGCACTCGAAATTTCTATTAGATTCAATAAATTAATGTGATATATCAGCCATCTTGAATTTGTGACTTTTGACTGCAAATTCAGTTTCAGCGACCTGAAAAACAAGGTCCCCACTTTTGGTGATGATGCAAACCTTTTTGGACTTTTGTCCAGCTTTCTCGGATTTCCGACCACTGTGCAGCCCCATAAACAGTAATATAGTGCTGTGAGGTCTGGAGATCCTGGAGGTCAACTAATAGGACCACCGTGGTCAATTCAACGCCCTAGAAACCTCTCCTTCAAATGTAGCTTGACAGGACGAGCGAAATGTGCAGGAGCTCCATCGTGCTGGTAGTAGATTCGCATTCTCATATTTAAAGGACATCCTCTAGTAGTACTTGTAATTCATTTTGTAAATTTTTTTGTAGTTGTCTCTTGTGAGTTGATTCTCCAAAATGAAAGGTCCAATTAAATAACTACATATCGATTATACCACTCAACACGTTTACCGAAAACCTATACTGAAAATTACTTTCCAGTGTTGCTTTGATTTTCGTCTGACCATACATCAGGGTTCCGATTATTAGTTATACCGTCACGGGTGAATGTTACTTCACACAGTTTGTTGAAAATTCTAATAAATAAATTTTTATCTGGTCATCTGTGATGTAGAAACCGTTGACAATATTCTTCAATAGCCATTACAAAAACCATAAACAAACACCATATTTGCATATTCTAAATTTGAATAAGTTCTTGGCATTTTGTAACACTTTTAACTATTGCAACATGAAATGAGTGACAAATATCCTACTTACGAACATGAAATATAACACTTTGATTTCAAATTATTAAAATTTGTAATTAAGCTATAACTTGAAAACAAATATTTTTCTTATTATTTTAACGTGTACAATCTATTGTTGGAGTTTGGTGCGATTCTCCCATCTCACCCTGTATAAAATATTACATAAACATAAGATACTTATCAAGCCAATAAATGGGGGTTTACAAAAATATTTTCCAAGTGTTCAGATTATTATCTCTGTCTTTGTTATTTTATAATTTCAGAGAAAAAATTATATATTTAGTTCACCGTAACTTAATTTTTGGAAAGTTCTACATATAATAATATATAATTACACTTTCTTGTTTGTCACATTTTCATTTTGTACTTTTTAATTGGATGAAACCATTGAAAATCAAAAAATGATTAAATACATATTAAGTAAATCAAAAATAACTCTTTAGAGAATTAAAATCTTTCATCCCACTATGCAAAAAATTTCAAATTGAAAGAAAGGTCCAAATTTGGTATTAACTAACACATAATATATAAATTAAAAAAACACTTACATGTTTGTTTGAGTTTTGAGACGACATCAATGAATGAGTAATAACCATTTGTATAGATTGCAAAATCTTCAGTCTCAACGAATCAGATCCTATCATTTGAAGATCTCTAAATAATTGAATCAGGAAGTGAGGTCTTGTTTCATTTGCTGATATTAACGATGCAACTTCTTTATAGACATTTTCTCTAAGCTCATCAAAAAGTTTTGTTCTAAAACAATATTATTAATACAGTGGTGTATTTTCACATTTTCTTTTTATGAATATACTTCTTCATTTTAGAAAAATTGAGGACAACATTATGTAAAAATTTACATTATTCGGTATGCTGCAAAAAAGTAGGTCAAACGGTTACCCACATATTCTTTGGTTAATAAATAATAGGACTTTCCGTAAACTACTTTTCATTTAAAATCATTATTTTTTAAATTAACCATAGAAACGTTACACACACATTTATTTCAGGGTGGCACATTTTTTAATTAATTTTAAAAGATGTAAGCATTAATGAAGCAAAAGGGGTGGTAATAGCCATCAACACCACCAATTTTTTACTGTGCATACCACACATGGCTGAAAGACATTGTTTACTAGAAGACTGGAATAAGTTCTCTTAATTATATTAATCTAATTTAGAAGTTAGATCAATTTAAAACGAGATTTTAATTTAGTTATATTCCGACGTAAACCAAGACAAAATAATAAAATTAATATTAAAAATAAATGTTCAATATGTCTACCACCTCTGCAAATGCACATTTAGAGCAATTAGTTCATCGCTTAATTCAGTGACGGCTCGCCAGGTGACGCAAGTGATGCACCGCTTCACCTAAAATTTCTGTTTGGTTGTGCAATTTAAAATTATTTTTAATTTTATGTAAATTTTATAATTTAGGTATAATTTTATATTGTACGTGTATTGTGTTTGTTTAATATGCAGAAATAAACAGAATAGTTACGTAGTGAACGCCTTCTAGAAAAACATTGCCTTCGTTGAGCGCGAACATCAACCTCGTATCCTACAGCATACAGCATAAGCAAGTGACACGGATCGAAATCAGTCAAACACGGCAGAAATTGAAGCAGTATTTTCATCGCTCGATGCTCATCACCTGCCTTTAAACAGTTTATACGATACGGTTCGCCAATGCACGATTATAACAGTTCTTTGTTAATATTTGTTTTGTATAATAATTGTACAAATGTTTCCTATGTATGATCCAGTATGTATTTTATTGGAAACGCCATTTTCCACATGGAAAATTGAGGACAAAAAGGACTTTTTAAATTGCGAGAGACCTGTGCCTTATTCTCTCGATATGGAAAAAAAGCTGTCGTAAGCACAAAGCTTCTTTGGAACATACATATACGGTGTGCGTTAATGTTCGCAAGTCGAACTAATATTTCTATTTTTTATAAAATCTAAATGAAAATCTTTCTCGTGAACATCAGTTTTTCGGTAATATTACGAATGCAATTAAAAATTTCCAGATTCATTTGACCTTGAAAATTTTCGCCTGCAGCGCTTTTTTTCGTTTTAGTCAATCAATGAATACGCTTCACCTATTCTCAATGTCACCATCCGCCACTGGCTTAATTCCTTCCATCATACAGATGGATATATAGCTGTAAAAATGTTTGTGCTTTACAGTGGGCAATTATTAGCATTTATGTATTTGAAGTTCCTTTACCAAGTAAGAAAACATTTTTATTTATTGTTTTTGTTATATACATATAAACTTACAGTTCGAAATCTTCTCAAAACTTTGAAAAATAGTGATGTACTCTTATGTACTTCAATATGTTTTTTAATCAAAATTACATAAAAAATTAGTCAAAGGCTGCAAGATTTCAATTGACCGTTAAACAAGAAAAGCAGCGAGTTATTAATAGAATTCTTTTTAAATTGGAATTTCAACACCCTGGACAGTCCGTACAATATATGTTAAAATAGAATTCCAAGAAAAGAAATTAAGAAACACTCCTTCGTAACTGCAAAACACAGTACGCACTGCAAGCTGCTAAGGTGAACACCACTCCGCCAACCTCTTTCTACCTCGGTTGTCGAAAGCAGTTAATTTCAAGAAAGTGTTGCAGGGGTCTTCTTGGAATTCTATTTCAACAAATATCGTACGGACGGTATATTGAAAAATATATTTTTGTGGTTAACGGCTTAACCTAGATATGTATCAGTATTTGTGCTTACTTTGGCAGCTGTTCCTCACTAACTTCGTCGTTCCACTCGTTCCTCCTGAGCGACTGTCCTGGAATACATTCTTTAAAAATTTGCTCTTCCGATAGATTGGAATGATTGGAGCAGGTATCATTATAAGCATTTAAGTTCAGGAGCATCTGAAGACCTATGTTGACATCTTCAGTATTATCATGATGAGCACTGGACGATAAGTCTAAATGTCCATTAACTTTACTGTTGTGATTCACATTTAAAACGTCCGGTGGAGGTATGACGGACACATTAGTGTTTTCGTGCCTGCCTAATCGGAATGAGGGACCTCTCCTTTGAGGTGTATTTTCCTGTGAAGTGCTTGTGGAATCCTGTTCTGAATTACTTTTTGAGAAAGTCATTAAACTAAACGGATTGGTTCGTTCATTGGAGATGTTTGATCGATCTAAGCAAGATGGATTTTGCAAAACCTCATTGTTTTTTGTAGATAGGAGATTTTGACGTGAATAACTAAAAACGAAATAAAGTATTTTGTAACAATTTTTCAGTATTAGTTCTTACTTCGCACTAAAAGTATTAAGTTAATTCAAGTTTATCCCAAATCTTAAATTAAGCATTTATTAAAAGATAAATAATTTTTTTATTTAACTACAATTTTTTTTGTAAAGTTTTTTATTTCAATAATGCATAAACTTCCACAGTTATAAGGGGGGCGGAGGAAGATGTGCAAAAATTCTGAAAGCAAGTTCATTCTGCGAAGTGTGCTACAGAAAAATGACGGGCAGTTGTAAAATTAAATAGCGAAATAGTAGGTAGATACCATCGCTGAGAAAACTGACGAAATATCTTGGCCTGTGCATCACCTGTTTTATCGTCATATATAGTTGCTTTTTCCCTATCTCCCCAAGCGAGCATATCATAAAAGTTTTTCACATCATTATGAATTCATCAGAATGCCTTTTGGTCTCAAAAATGTTCCTTAGACGTTCTAAAGAGTTATAAATCATATTCTTTCAGATTTACATAAGAGATATCTAGTCTATATGAATGACATTAATACTTTTTACATTCTTACAACACATTCAGAACAGAAGATTAATTTTTGAGTTGTAAACTGTCTTATACAGTACAGAAAATTTGTATAACTGATATAGTTCAGAGATATCGCTTCTAACTTGGTTAGGTTTTCAAGACAAAAGACTGCTAAAAAGTCACTGAAAATTATACATCCCCCCCCAAGTATATTTAATCAATCTTTTTAGTGACTCATTCAAGTGAAATATGGTGGTTTAAAGGAATAGTGAAATGGTAAAACGTATTTTCTATACACATACGGTGAAAATTGTATACCAGGATTGATAAGTGGATAAAAGAAATATTCCAAATACAAATTTGGTTTTGGTGTAAGGTGGCTATCCCTCAATACTTATGTAGGTACATAAAAATTGTGAAGATAGATAGGAATGGCAATGACAGGAAGAGGACATAAACACTTTTATGAAAATATTTCAGTTTTTTTGACATATTGTCTAAAAAGATGCTTATACATATATCTGTAACTTTTTTCTTTGAATTTCATACAAAAAGTTGGAATTTGTAGGAAAAACTGTTGTCAACAACTTTTGTCTTAAAAAACCAAGCATATTAATTTTAAGTATTACTTTTTTACAAAAAAAAAAAACAGTAAACTATAGTCTTTCCAGTCAGTTGAAGATGTATAAAAACGCCTAGCAATAAAATTTAAAATTCATAGGCTTCCCTAAAAAAGTCTTCTGCTAAAGGTAAAATATAATAATTTGTATATAATGTGTAGAAAATTTCTATTATATGTTCATTTGGCCAACAACATATTTTAATTATTTATGTCCTCAATTTTCTTTATATAAATTATAAATTTACGCAATGATCTATAACACCTTGTTTAATAACACGAAAAATTGTGGACACTGAAACTTTAGTTAATATGTGAATTCCATTTACAATTTCATTCTGATTTTTCATTTTCTGGCTTTTTGAAACAATCGTAAATATTTAATATGAGATGCTGACATTGAACATGTAAATCTTTATTTTTAAATTCTAAATCTGTTTCATCAACAACCGGTTCTACTAAACCAATATTGTCTGGCGGAATTTTGTTTTGTTCCCTTTCAAAAGGTCTCCAAAATGCCATGTAATATTATTAGTAAACAAAATATCCCGCTTATTTCTTCCTTTCGCAATTGNTAATTATTTATGTCCTCAAACAATTTTATTATATTGATGGTAAATTTCGTTTTGTTCCCTTTCAAAAGGTCTCCAAAATGCCATGTAATATTATTAGTAAACAAAATATCCCGCTTATTTCTTCCTTTCGCAATTGTAATAGAAGGTGCTTATAATAAACAAACAACTGAAATTTATGGCCGGTCGCACAGTACGGCTGTATGTGTGCGGTGTTTGCCCCCGCACGCCTTCTTCAACAAGACCTGTAATTGGGTATGGCTAAATAAATATGGGAACAAGTTTTTCAAATATTCCAATGCCGAGTTGTAGCGACCAAACCTGGTAAAAACTGCCTAGCTCTTTGGTCTTCAATTGAGATCGGAAAGACTATACCACTGATTACAATATATGTACATGTTTAACAATCGTCCTGTATTATTATTTAAATGGAAAGTATTTTCACTCCTCTTAAGACATAAGACTTAATTTGTAGTAATTTAATCAATAACTGTATACCTACCTTCAAAAAAGACGCATTGTAGACTTTCCACATATAATGTTCAATAAGGAAATATAGACAAGTTATAGGCAAAGGGAATAATATTAATAAACAAAAAAATAATAACAAAATAAATAAAATACAGCTAATTTATGTTAAAAAAAAATTACCTGCGAAAATTGTCCCAATAATTATTAGCTCTATTTCCTGGAGCTACTTGGTTATTTAGAGCTTGGCCATTCCACATCTGATTGGGCAACGAGTGGTTAATATTGGAATTCACGCCATGCAAGATATTGTTAGCATGTTCAACACCTTGTGTCGCATTCAGGTGATTAACATTATTTAAACACGGATCTAACAAACGGCCACTCTGCACATTATTTTGATTAATGTAATTCAGATCAAGGTTAGACGGTGGTGCGTTATACTGATTCAGATTAGGCAAAGAGAAAGCAGCAGAAACATGGTTAACTTTTTGATTAGGGACGGGGCGGTATTGGGCGGAGGACCGTTGGTCTTGAGGAGTTTGGAGAGTAGAAGGGAGTTGGTCGGAGTGTCCTCCGTAGGGGTTGCTCTCCATCCTTTCCTGAAGCTGTAAATAAATGATTATTATTTTTTACATGTTTGTTATCGATTCTGCTCACCAAAGTAACTGTATTTCTCAGCGACACTAGCTCCCTCTGTTGCAACCACAACATCTGACAACACTGATTTAATGTATTCAACATAAATGACTGTGTTTGTATGGTGTTCGTTGCTAACCAGTTCTGATAGTTGTTGATATCGGCATTCAAATTGCCGTGCATATTACTTCCAGGAAACCAAGGTGCGTCCGTATTTGGATTTATGACGTTTAGTGCGTTCATTGTATGAGGATTTGGAGAAGCATATCGCCTTGGTTCAGAATAGAGAGGAGATGGTGTTAAGTTGTTACGCAATTGTTGTACATTCGATTGCTGGCTTGCTGCCGATTGCTGCTCTAACATCGAATCACACACACTTTTGATTAGCTGGAGTTGTTTTTGAACCTGCACATACAGTTACAGATAAACTAAATATTTCTAAATGATTATGAATCTTTCAACTGCTTATGAATACCATTTTATATTAATAACATAAAGAATAGGATCGTTTTGTAGGTTATATCTCACCCACATTGAAAACAGTTTGTCTCATTAAATCAAGGTAGTATTATGCATTTGTTTACCTGAGTCCTGGTTTCCTGCTCAGTGTTTGACCTGGGGTGCTCTCTTACGTATCCTGAAGTAGCTGCCGAATTACTTCTATCATTTCGCTCAGGTGTACGAGATATACCCCGTGGTCTCTCAAATTCAGAAGGCTGAATGTAATCGTCGCAAGGAACAGATCTGAATTTTTTGGTTTTTAAATGAGAGAAGTTAGAACTCGGTAAATTTAAAACATTATGATTGTCATGCATTGCTGAATAGTCGTTAATGTCCTCCTCGTCACTAAAAAAATTTAATTGAGATTTACAAATATAAAATTCGAAATTCATTTAAACATTTTATTTAAAATAATGCAACTTGTAAAAAGTAATCTCTAATTAAGTAAAAAATTTTCAAAGCAAATAACATATGTTTACGTAATAACAATATGTTTTTTATTCATAAATACCTAGAAAACCTGTCTGAATCTGCATGGTGACTCTGTGGTGGTATAAGTGGAACCCAACCTTCGTTAATTGCATTACTTGTACAGCTAAATTCAGATTTAACATCTGCTCCAACATCATGGTTTAAATTTGATGTACTGGCTAAAATATATATAGATTAGGATAATTTGGAAAAGTAAGAACGGAATGTTCTCATATCTCCCGAAATATGTCCCCTTTGGTTAACTTTTAGTGTTTTTTTATATAGCAAAACTATAACACCTCAATAATTTTCAATCTGCTTTACAAATAATACTTTGAAAACAAAGCATGCCACTATTAGTCCAACAAAAGTTTAGAGTATTAAAACAGCAATTTTTACGTAAAGAAGAGTGAGAAATACTTCAAACTTAATGATTAATTTTGATTAATTAATTAATTAATTAATTAATTTGAAGGATATCCGGCTTTATTTCAACTGAAAACTGCAACATTAAAGGCCTGCACATACATACGCGGTAATGTAAGTGGTGGCAGTGGCGTTATTCCAATTCGAATTCAAATACAAAGACCGCTCGTACCGCTGACAAGCAGCGTCATGTATGTTTTGACCCATTTATTTCTATACGTTACATTCAAACGCCACCGCTATCGCTACCACCACCACTTACATTACCGCGTATGTATGTGCAGGCCTTAATTATCTGAACTTTAATATTGCCAATAAAAATTTGACAGTACTATCAAAGTTTTTTTAAAGTACTAGTTGGATTTTTGGTTTTCAAATGTTCTTTGTACAAATGGATAACTCGGATATTTTGAAGGAAACAAGAAAGAATACCATATTATGTGATATATTGTTATAAGCTTAATTCAAAATTGAAAAATAAAAGGTGAATATTAGTTATTTTCGACATAAGCACCATGGTTAAAAAGTATCATAATAATGTTTAAAAAGTCCACGTATTTTGGTTTTCTAAAAAAAATATCCAAAATCTTTTTTTTTTCCCAAAATTTCAAGATAAACAAAATAGGTGACATTTCTCTTCAAATGTTATTCATCATCAAATTCCAAAAATGCAAAATGCTGCTAAAGATCGAACCTACTGAGTTCTACAAGACAGTAAAAAACTAACAACATATTTAACATAATTATTTGTACCAAATTTTAATATGCACCACAATGGTTATTGCAAAAGAAAATTGTAATTCAAAAAATAATCTTCAAGACTAGAAAAAAATTGCATTTTTTTTCTATTTTACTCAGCTCTTGAATTTCCCTTTTGCACAACACTGTTCATTAACATGGCTACTTCCTATTAAACCGGAAATGATAAAAAAATTATTTGCTTATGAAATTAGCCTATTTATAGCCAATTTGTCCAATACAATGTTACTAAAAATAATAATCCGGGCGAATTAGACCAAACACATGGCGGTTTCAAAAATTAGGTCTAACTCGAATTTTATGGGCTTAAAATTAAATAAAGGTCGAGGTCGAGTGTCATATTGTTTATAATAAAAGAAAAAAAAATTATTGCTTTTTTCAGTTTTTCGCTGATATCTCCGAGAAATAAGCCTCTAATTGACACGAGGTATACTTATTGATTTTCTTCCTGAGGAAATTTGCTACAAAGCAAAAGCTCGCAAACATTTTTTTACATTGCAAAATTAGCAGTGAAAGAAAAAATGTGCAAAATTTACAGAATTAAATAAAAAGAACAAATTTGACTGAAATTGGATCAAACTACAGGAAAAGATAACCGTTGGGGTGCTCAACAAATACCCGCAATTCAGACCCCAAATTTCAAAATGGCGGTCTATTGCAAAATTATAAAGTCGAAAACACGAGCGCTTATATTTTCTGCCCAAGTCAAGATATCGAAATTTTGTAGAAAATGTTCGAAAGGTAATTACATTATCTCACATCTGTGCAAATTTCAGATTTTTAAGATGCAAAATAAAAAAGTTATTAACAAAAAACAAAAAAACAGTAACTAGGGTTCTTATCTCGGCAATTTTTTAATATACAGATTTCAAACCAATTACATCAAATAGTGCTTAAATAAACATGAATTAAAAAAAAAAGCGTCTCGATCTGACCAATTGGAGCCGATAATTTTTTTTTTCTTTAAACGGTATTTTGGCTGTTTTATTTAATATTTTGGAATAAACTTGGTCTCGTTGTAAAGTAGAAAACTTCCTTTATACGCTGAATTTTTTTTTAATGGATTTGACCAAGAAGTGACCAAGTAAACGTTCGTTAAAGACAGCGTGATCCGCGCGGCGGTCCGCGTGGCTGAGCGGTAGCCAGGAGAGGGAAGTGCTGTGACATCATAGTGCCCATGTTGCGCTCGACTTCTCTATGCTGTTTTTTAATCAATTTATTTTTTTCTGCTCTTTCGAGTGGTGTAAGCAAAAGTCTGTGAAAGTCAGCGCTAGATCCAGAAAAATACATTTTTATTGACTTTTCACGTTTTCTTTTATAATTTCATTGTGCTTTCGATATTTTGAAAAGTAAGGAGGTCTTTTTACATATTTAAAAACAAAAATCAATTATTTCTTTGAAAAAAAATGATGCATGAATGAAAATTTACCGTGCTCAGAAGAGGTCGACATAAAATATCGTCTCAAAATTACCTTTTACACTTATTCCGTAAATTGTTTCTAGAATAATATTGAATGTTACATATAAGTATTGTATTTTATAGTATTTAAAAGAACTGATATATTCAATTCTACCATGTTTTATTTAATAAATTGTATTGTATTGCCCAACGGTTATCTTTTCCTGTAGTTTCATCCAATTTTAATCAAATTTGTTCTTTTTATTTAATTCTGAAAATTTTGCTTTTTTTTTACTGCTAATTTTGCAATGTAAAAAAAAAATTTAAGAGCTTTGGTAAACGTCTATCTTTGTAGCAAATTTCCTCAGGAAGAAAATCGATAAGTATACCTCCTGTCGATTAGAGGCTTATTTTTGGAGATATAGGCGAAAAACTCAAAAAAAGAGCAATCTTTTTTTTTTTCTTTTGTTATAAATAATATGACCCTCGACCTTTACAAATACACGAATTAGGCTTTTATTCTGTGCATTTTTTACTTAATTTTTAGCCCATAAAATTCGAGTCAGATCCGATTTTTGAAAAAAAAACCTAATGTGAAACAAACTATATGGTAGACACTGTAGTTTGCGCCATCTGGTATGTTTAGTTTATAAAAATTTTATAGTAAGTATTTCGATTTTAAATAACCAACAAAATGAGAAGCGTTAATTAAATTGGTGCCAAAAACAAACAATCATGATATCATTATCTATTTACTGACGTATGTTTTCTGTAATTAAATTAGCAAGCAAATTTTAACATGGTAATAATAATTTTCGAATAAGTGTAAGTAAATAATCAAGTACCTTTATGTTTTCCCATTATCTCTTCCAATTCTTTCTTCTTGGCTTCAAGTTCAGCTTGTAAGGACAATTTTTCATTATGGCTAGTTATTCTAGGCTTCAACCCTCTGCATCCTTGTTCAATGGACCGTTTATTAACTTCTTTAGGTTGATTATCACTGGCTATTGTACTGCTGTAATTATCATTTCTCAAAACGTTGGTTTCGTTTTGAACTTGAGACTGTAATCTTGGTTTTTGAACATCCTTTTCCAAAAAGTTTTCAGCCGAAGTACAGATATCGTAAGCAACAGCTTGTGCCTCAGCTGAAGCATTTGTGTTTTGCATTATATTCTCAGTAGTTTTCACAAGTTCCAACATGTCTTTAAGTTTTCGCAGCTGGTCTTTCATGGTGACAATTTTCTTTACCTGCCCACCTATAAATTATTAAATGAATGTATCAGTCAATCAATGGTATAACTTGTGGATTCATACCTATATCTTCCTCTTCTTCATCCCCAAAGCTCTGCAATTGAGCTACAAGTTGATCGACCTGTAACTTCTTATTCTGAAGTTCTTGCAATTTATTCTGAAGGTCGGCATGTTGCATTCTTAGTTCAGCATCGCGATTGTCCAAGGTTTCGATCAAATTTTCTCTTTCATCGTTCGCGTTATGCATGGTGATGATCTGATTGTGTAAACTGTGAACTTTGGCCAATATATTATCCTGCGCCTTTTGATTAGACAGTTGAGGCGACCTCAGTCTTTTTGCTCTCTCTTCTAGTTCTTTAATAGCAGCATCAAAGTCATGTTCTGAGTATAATTTATTATCTTTTCGATTGCTAATATCGTTTACATCATTCCCAACTGCAATTTTACATAAATTTTATTCAATCTTCATATAAATCGATTTATTTACCGATTTAAAACATGCAACATTTAGTTTCAAGTTTTTAAATATGGAATATGAAGAAATATTTTTTTAGAAAATTCAAAGAAAGTTGTAACTTTTAACTGTGCTACTTGTACTTAATTAAAATATATATTTTGCAAAACTACAATTCGTTATTCTACCGATTGCATATTTACCATTTACAACACTATTTCCATTATAAAATACTTACACATTGAACCAGACATTTTTGTCTGAGCATGTCTTGCGTCCCTCAGTTTATTTTCAGCTTTCTGCTGAAGTCTCATTAAAGCCATCTGCTGATCTTTAAGCATATCAATTTCTTGACTGGGATTAACCAGATTGACGTCTATATCATTTCTTCTGAAGGAGGAAGAGCTGTGTTCAGAAACATTGTCAACTCCATTTTCAACCAGCTAAAAAATAATGTCAGACCGTCTTGAAACATTATTTTATTACATAGTAAATAAAATAATAGTCTGTGACCCAGTTTATTCAAATCATTTAACACCTTAATGCACACATTAATTTTTTGGATTATTTTTTTTTTTTTATTTACAAAAATAGAATATTCTCATCCATAGCAATATATTTTTGACAAATTTTTCATAGTCAATCTTTAAATTTTGATTTCCAGTGGCATAGAAGGTCAAAAATTGAAAAAAAAATCAGTCACAACCAGAATCCAATAATTCCACGTCAATTACATGAGACATGATTTATAGAGAAAACTCAGTAACAATCAACAGAAAATAGTATATAAATATATAAACACTTGTAACCTGCTGAAAACAGTTTGCCTAAGTCACAAGTTGTATAAATATGTAATCAGTGAGAATTGAGAAGTATTTTAACCGGAGCGACATCTATGAATAAATCCTGAGTCACATTCGGGCAGAAGCATGAAAGGGTTAATATTCTCTCACAGTAACAAAACATTACATTTTCCAACATATTTACATTTAAAGTACAATATGATTTATAAATGAAATAACATAGGGCATGTGTGTGTTGTGGACAATAAAATATGTTGTTTTAATTTGTTTACCATATACTCCCTACATCCACTAGCCCTGTCATTTACAAATCACCCTATTCGTAAATGTATGTATAATGTGCACAATATTATTAAATATTTATTAATAGGGACCAGATTAGATACCTACTTCATGCAAAACACGTAACACAATTTTAATAAAATAAAATAAAATAAAGTCATATGTATATTGTTAAAGAAACTTTTCATCTAAAAACCAGAAAATAGTCAATTATTAGAGTGAAACTTATTACAATCTAATAACGAGAAAAAAACTTTAAAATCTAATACCAAAAAATTCTGTGACATTCACACAAAATTTTAAACAGTTTATAACCAAGTTAAAAAAATAATAATATAGTACAAACTCGATTATCCGGACCTCGATGATCCCAATCTCTTTATTATTCGGATCTGACCATTTCTGAGAGCATTGTTGTGAAGTCAGCAGATGAAAGTGCGCCGATCACAATACAGGCACAGGAACTTAAAACTTAATCTGTGTCTTCCAATTTGTAAATCTGTGTTCAGACACAAACACAAAACTATAGTTCTAACTGCACTATTAATGACTCAGTCACACAGAATGTTTAAATATTTTGTTTACATAGAACACAGTACTTATTTATTTTAGTTGCCGTTTTGTATCTTTGAATAACATAATAGAAAGTGTGTCTTCAATGAAATAAAATACAAACAATCAATCTGTTATCTGGATTTCCGATTACCCCGATCGGTATCGATCCTATCTAGACGCAATAATCGAGTTTATACTGTACATTTTAATAATTACAATAACACATTGTTTATCTTTCTCTAATAATCTACCATTTTAAAATAATTTTGTTAAGAATAAAATAAAACAACTACATTAATTTTAATCCGAAATAATAGAATATATTAAAAAAAATAATATTAAATAGAATTCAGACATCGCATAGCTATATATAATTACCATATTATAGAATTCTATAAAAATATCACATGCTAAAATATTATTCCAACATCAACAACATATTTTTATTTTAGTTAAAGTGTAACTCGATCAACAATGATTTTGCAAATTATGAACGATGTGTTGTTACCTTATATGGTAAATTATATTTTAGTACAATACTTTTAAACTGACACCTTAGTGGGTTTTAAAACTTTTTTAAAATAGTATGTATATGATTCAGCCACAATCTCTCCAAATAAATGTGAAAATATTAAGGTTAATTATAAATTGTGAGAAATCATTGGCAAGTAGCACTACAATTTAAATATTATGCTCAAAAGTGGATAAATTTGGAAATGGTGGGATATAACTATTCTGAATTCCATTTAACATTTTGTCAGACTTTATATAGGACAAAACTACAATTTTTACCTTTATGTTATATTATCTATTTACATTATCAAAATGTAAAAATGCTTTTAGTATAATTTGAAAAGCAATTTGCATTTTTGTGAGTAAAATATACACAGATTTAAAAAAAAATAATTGGAAAATTAAAACATGTATTTAAATATCCCGAATTTATTTATAAAGCATATATAATCTGACAAAAATGATTTTAATAAATCAAAAAGTTTATGTCTACTGCACATAACCTCCTACCATAGTGAGCGCGCGTGATAGAATATAATTTGTGAAAAAATTTGTGCCAAAGGGAGCAAACAACTTGTTAATTTAATTAACGTATTTTAATTTAAGTTTATTCATTTTTTAATCCTTCTCATTCTCAATAAATTTCAGATTAAAGTCAATTATGTTTCTAACATACTTTAAGATCATTAAAATTTTTAATTCACTGAATTGAATTCAATTTAACAGTTTAAAGCCTGTGAACACATATTTTTTTTTATTTCACTTGATTTTATATACATATTTAAATTTTACAATTATTTTTGGCATTTTAGGGATTTTTTTCACCTGATCATTATTAATTTCTTCATTTTCATCAGAATTCATCTGATCCAAAATACCCAACAACTTTTTTTCACTATCTTTTAGGTCATTCATCATTTTCTCGAGATTTTCTTTTTCAGATTGATCGTTTGTCTGCATATAAACATACTAAAGACAAAAATATAAATGTTATTTCTTCACTTACCTGATCCTCATTTTTCATGCTCGTCATGAGAGAATTAGTGATTTTTAAATATTCCCTTATTTGATGCAACTTATCCTCTATTTGTTTTTTATCTGGGTATTTTGTAACATTATCACATTTTAATGATGAAGAGTTTCTTCTAGATGTAGATGAGCTTGTATTTGGTGTTACAGTACCATTAGCTGCAACATATATCTTTGTTGATAAATTCAAGTAAAGCGTCCCAGGGTAAAATAATTAAAATTAATTTTAAAATTATCTTCAACCTAATTGAGTTTCAGTTAGCAAACTACGACAAATAGTACATTGAATGCAAAATGACTGAAGAAATATAAAAATGTTGAAGGGATACTAATAAAATGAGAGCATGCAAAACCACCAATGCAGTAGTAGCAATTCCTTTGTCTTTTTTTTATCAAATTTATTATGTCTTCCATTACATGTGGAGAATATTGGAGTTAAAAGTGTCATTCAACATAAAATGTCACTATATATTATTCTTTAAGCACATACCAGTTTGATTAAAATTGATAGATCCATTTTGAAGGGGTTGTAAAGTGGGTTCCTCTAAAGTAGTATCCATGTTAAAATAATTGTTGCGCTGATTTCCTCTGGAATTTCTAATTAAATTTGAAGGATCAGAGGGATGATGCCAGTAACTAGCCTGAAAACAAAATGAGGGACGAACTAGAACAATCTTACTGTCTAAATAAAGATTTTATTTTTAGATCATTGGCTCGGTAGTGGAACTAAAAAACAATTTTATACATTTACTCACCAGATTGTTTGTTAGACTTCTTGATCTTTCCCGTTCGTTAATTGAATACGATGTGTTATTGCGGTATTTTACCTTTGGGACAGTACCTGTACTTTGTTTATTTATTTTTCTACGTTCCTCAGACATATTTTTTGTTTATTAAAAAAACTAACCACAGCCCTAATAAAACATTAAATAAATTAATTTATAAATGCGTACTACTTATTTTAAATTTATAAAGAAATTTTCAAAGAACATTTTTATACCTAATATGTAAAAATTTATTTTTAATTTCTTTATAATATCAAGTACAATTTTTATAAGTAACTGACAATTAATCTGACAACTGACCAATGTGTTATTTTTTGACAGATGCCACTGGCCATCGATCTTATAGGTAGTAGATTCGACATTGCCTTATATGAAAGAACAATGATTGTTTTGACATGTTTTAACTGATCGAATATAAAGAACTATGAAAAAATGGTGTTTGATTACACATTCATCGATTACTTATTGTTATTTCCAGGTATGATCAGTACACAATTGCTCACAAAATTACACATATACTACAAATATATCAAATATATGGATATTCTGGGGGGCTTTCATTTTGGCAAAAATAGTACCTATTAGCAACTAATATCAGTTCAGAGTACTCTAAGTTCCTATTAGCTACTATAATTGCCAAATCGAAAGGCCCTCTAAATGCAGTCATAGCATCACAGATTAGCAAAAGTTTTTTAGATCGGTAATTTTAAACTTCCAGTCAACTCGTGTTACAGCAGTACTTCTTTTGACGCGTTTCAGCACTAGAAGACAACAAACTTCACTATAATCGACGGCCGAAATTATAGATAGTGATTCATCGCTAGCTCTTGGACTAGTAAGGAGGATGAGGCGTGCGGGGATCGAAAATCCATAGGCGTGTATACGTAAAAGGCAACAAGATGTAGAANAACGTAAAAGATAGAAAGAAAAAAACAGGTGCGGAAGGTGTGGAACGTTGAGTCGAACACAAAAATGGCCGAAAAGCGCGAAGACTCATGTAATTTGCCAATATTTGACGGTGTAGATTGGGGAAAATGGAAATTCCGTCTGTTGTTAGTTTTAGAAAGCAAAAATGTCAAAAATGTCATTGAGAGACCCATGCCGCAAGAAGAGGGAACAGCGAAAGAAAATTGGAAGAAAAACGATGTCAAAGCGAGATCTATAATTGTACAGGGCGTATCAAATTCGCAGTTGGAGCTAATAATTAACGAAACAACGGCAATAGACATAAGTAAGTTAAACTCTGTTTATGAACCCTCCTCTACTGCTTTAAAGTTATTAACGAAGAGAAAGTTACTAAGCCTTAAAATGCAGCCAAGTGATGACCCCAAACAATTTATCACCAAATTCGAGCAGTATATAAATGATTTGAGAAGTGCTGGAGAGATATTATCGGAAGATGATCGACTTAATTATTTGCTGCTCACTCTTCCAGAAAATTTCAATCATATTATTGATATCGTCGATGCTTTGCCTGAAAATCAAAGAACTGTAGAATATATAAAGTCAAAACTGCTTATTGATTTCAAGAAAAGTAATCCAGAAAGAAATGAACCTAATAGTTATGCTTTCAGTTCACACCATTCCAGAAATAAAAATATGAGTCAGATGAGAAATAGAGATGATATAGACAACAGAAGATGTTATGGGTGCGGTAAAATAGGCCATATGAAGAAAGATTGCCGAAATTCATACAACTACTATCGCAGAAGTCAAGGTGATCGACACATTCAAAGTCAGAGTTTCAGAGGCAACGTTCGAGGCAACCATCAAGGTAATAATTGGCAGCGGCAGCGACGCCCCGCTAGTAGTAACCATCAAGGACACACAGCAGAAGCCAGAGACGAAGAAGATTCTAGCAGTAATACTTTCCTGGTGTCAGTGATGTTATCAGAAAAAAGAGACGAATGTAGGTATGATGATGAAAATTGCATTACATGGCTTTTAGATAGCGGATGTTCAGACCATATTGTAAATAACGACAAGTACTTTAATGAAATTAAAATGTTAGATAGGCCCATAAACATTAAAGTAGGTGATGGTTATCTAATTAAAGCTTTAGCTATAGGAACAATATTTGTAAAATTTAAAATAGATAAAAATGAAATTGAAATACGAATAACAAACTGTTATTTTGCACCTGAAATGTCAAAAAATTTATTAAGTATGTCAAAAATAACTAATAATGGAAACAAAATATGGGCTGAAGATAATATTCTCAACATTTTTAATAATAAAAATGAAGTTATAGCAGTAGCTAATAAGAAAAGAAACTTGTATGAATTAACCGGTATTATAGTTAAAGATTTTAAAGTGGAAACAAATGTATCGAGCATGATCTCCGAAAAAGAAAATTGGCATAGAAAACTAGGTCACGTTAATTTTAAAAATTTATCAAAAATGTGTAAAAATCAAATAGTTGATGGATTACCAACGGTTCTTGAAAATATTCATTTAGATTGTGAGATATGTTTATTATCAAAGATGAGTAGTTTGAAATTTAATAATAACAGGAGAAGAGCCCGCGATGTCTGCGAAATAGTCCACACGGATGTAAACGGACCTATAACTCAAGTAGGTTATGGTGGAGAAAAATACTTTGTATCTTTTATAGATGACTTTAGTAGGTTAGCTATTGTTTATTGCATTAAATCTAAAAATGAGGTTTTTCAATATTTTGAAAATTATGTAAATTTAGTAGAGAATCAGACCGGTAAACGAATAAAAGAAATTAGATGTGATCGAGGGACGGAATATCTAAATAAGAATTTTTACGAATTTACTAACAAAAAAGCATATGGCTACGTCCAAGTCCAAGCTACACTCATCAATTAAATGGCGTTGCGGAGAGATTTAACCGAACAGTTATGGATAGTGCTCGTTGTTTACTAAATGAATCAAACTTAGATAAAAAATACTGGCCAGAGTGAGTAAAAACGTCAGCATATTTAGGTAATCGAACAATAGGGTGTCATAACTTCAATAAAACGCCCTATGAAATTTTTACAGGTGGAAAACCAGATGTTACAAACTTAAAATTATTTGGTAGTACAGCTTTTGTTAGGGTACCTGAAGTCAAACGAGATTCAAAATTAGAACCAAAGTCTGAAAAAGGTATATTGGTAGGTTACAGTGATACAGGTTATCGTATTTTAGTAAATGATCGGATTATTGAAAGTAGACATGTACGATTTATTGAACAGAATAAAAATTATTTAAAAATAGAAATTAATGATCATGAAAATGCAGATGAACAGAATAATGAAAATATAGGGGAGCAAGAAAATAAAGTTGATTCTAAAGTAGTTGAAAATGAAATAATGCCGAATGAAAGAAAAAGAGAAATAAAAAAGCCAGCATGGCATATAATGATTATATTATTGACGCTTACTTTTCAAACGTGGTTGTTCCCGAATCATATGAAGAAGCTGTGGAATCAGATCAAAAGATCTCGTGGCAGAAAGCTATGGAGAATGAATTTAGGTGTTTGATGAAAAATAAAACGTGGGAATTAGTTGACATTGATTCGGTACCAAGCGATAAAAAATTAATACAGGTAAAATGGGTATACAAAATTAAGTCAGATAATACATTCAAGGCTAGGTTAGTTGCTCTCGGTTATCAACAACCAAAAACTTTAGAAGAAGAAATATATTCACCCGTGGCTAAAATGCCAACTCTTAAATCTTTGCTGTCAGTCGCTTGTAACCAAGGTTGGTATATAAATCAAATGGACGTTCAAACGGCTTTTTTGAATGGTAAAATAACTTCTGAAGTTTATGTGTATCAACCAGAAGGTTTTGTTATCGAGAAAAATAAAGTTTGTAAATTACATAAATCTCTTTACGGTTTGAGAGAGAGTCCGAGAGCATGGTATGATTGTTTCCATAATTATATGTTATCTATAAATTTTACTAACTCTGAATACGATAGTTGTTTATATTTTAAGAATGAAGATGGTAAATTAATTTACATAATTCTGTATGTTGACGATTTGCTAATATGTAGCCCTGATTTTGACTGTCTAAAATTAACAAAACATTGTTTAAGTGAAAAATTCGAAATGAAAGATTTTGGAGAAGTAAAAACTTATCTCGGAATTGATATTGAGTATGACCAAGAAAAAAGATTAATGAATTTAAATCAAACTGAATATATTGAATCTTGTGTAGAAAAGTATAATTTAACCGAATGTAGAAGTCACCAAACGCCAATTGAAGTGAATTTAAAACTAGAACCTGCCGTAATATGCGATACTGATGTTAAATATAGAAATATAATAGGATCTTTACTGTATATTAGTCAAGGAACCCGTCCAGATATAGCGTATGCTGTAAATTATCTAAGTGGTTTTCAAAATTGTTATTCAAAAACTCATTACAAATATGCTCTTAGAGTTCTAAAATATCTCTACACAACAAAAGATTTAAAACTATGTTTTACTGGTTCATGTGACATTCCCGTTGACTGTTTCGTTGACGCAGACTGGGCAGGCGATATAATTGACCGAAAATCTCGAAGTGGAATTCTGATTAGAGTTTTAGGTAATCCAGTTCTTTGGATTTCACGAAAAAATATATATCTTTAGCCGAAGCTGTTGATGAAATTATTTTCTTGAGTAGCATAGTTAAAAATTTGTCCATTAAAATAAATAATCCTATTGCAATATTTGAGGACAATTCAGCTGCAAAACATTTAGCTGTAAACGGAAATTTCTCTAAAAATAGTAAACATATAGATGTGAGTTACCATTATGTACATGATTATGTCAACAAAAATGTTATTAGTGTTGTTAAGATCTCTTCAGAAGATCAAATAGCCGATGTCTTCACGAAAGCATTAGGGACAATTAGATTTGCAAAATTAAGAAGTTTATTGAAAGTTGAGTAAACCTTTTTTTATTATTCATGTGTGTACTAGTAATAGTAATTATGTAAACTGTAGATGATGAAGATTATGAAAGAAAGGAGGTGTGTTAAATATCTGTAGTTCTTTCATATGCTCCGTCGGCATTGTGTCTTAGATACACAGATTTTATTATTGTTGTTATTCTAGAAGGCGTGTGTCTAGTTAGATATATCAAAAAATGTTTGTATATTAAATATTGAACAAGTTGTTAAATTGGAATAAAACGAGTATAGCAAAGTGTGGCTCTTTTATTTTAACAATAACCCACCACCACCCGGCTTACGCCGCCGCAAAATATTGTAATGTTTACTATTAATATATTTATTTAAGTAGGTACTTACATATTTTATAATAATTATCTCACGAATATTATCACTGTCACACTTTCACTTCACTGCCACATAATCACTTCACTATTAATATATTTAAATACTTACATATCACATTATTCACATTATATGTTTCACATATCACTGTTGCTATCACTATCACTAGAATCATCTTCACCCAAATGAATAATAACTGGTTCTATGAACACTTCTACCGTTGTATCAAGATACCACATACGTTGTTCCTCTTTCTGTGCATGTCCAATACACTTACACCATGTTTCAGCAGTGACGTGATTAATAGCATCCTGTAATAATAATTTCACGTCGTTTATTTTAAAGGTGGTGTTTTTTCGTGCGATTTCATTCTTTATTTGTGCCCAAACCAACTCAATTGGGTTTAATTCACAGTGGTATGGCGGTAAACGGAGTACACGAATTCCTCGATCTTTGGCCATCTCATCCACTACATACTTAATGTATTGACCTTTTTCTCTTTGGACAATTTTTAATAATTGTACTTTTAGCATGGTTTCTGTATATTCAATATTTTTCGATTGTAACCAGTCCATAATATTTCCTTTTCTCCATGCTGATGTCGGTAACATTTCAACTCTTCTACTATGATAAGGTGCGTTATCCATCACAACAACTGCTCCTGGCTCCAGATATGATAAAACATATTCAAACCATTTTTCAAACACGTCGCTGTTCATATCTTCATGATAATCTCCCGTTTTTCGTGACTCAAATACATGCAAACCATTTTCTAAAAATCCCGTATCGCTTCCAATATGTGTTATAATCAATCTTCGTCCTTTTCCAGAAGGTGCCTTTAATCCAGTAGAAAATCCATCTAAAAATGCTTGTCTCTTACTCTTAACATTACCATCCTGCCAAACTTTTGATACAGTATGACCTTCGTTTACCCATGTTTCATCCATGTAATATATCTTCTTACCAGATGCACGAAGTTCTCTTATTTTTTCTAAGTATTCTCTTCGCCATACCACAATTTCGTCTTTTTCAACGAGCATACTATTCCGATTCCGTTTCAAATATCGAAAATTCATGTCACGCATTATTCTTCTAAGAACCTTATCAGAGAAATTAGGAATATCCTCATCTTCAGCTATTGCAGCTTGAATTTTCTTTATCGTTGGTATTTCATTTCTAAAGAAAAATCCATGAATTTTCCTACGTATGGAGTATTTCACGTCAACGTCGACTTCTATTTTCTTCCTCCCTCGTGTTTCCACTTTTTTCTTCTTTGGATTCACTTCTACACTATTTTTTATGGCACGATAAACAGTAGCAACGGATACTTTTGTCAACGAACTACACATATCAACAGCTTCACTTACACTTGTATTAGAATTTCGCGACCGAATTCCTTTATACACGTTTTTTACCATTATTAATTCCGCATCGCATAGGTTAGGGCGTTTATGAGCAACAGACCGTTTGCTACAACCGGCACTTTGATCCATTTTAATTATTATTCCTACGTTTTAAAACGTCCCGATTGTATTTTTTTAATTTATAAATTTACTATAGTCACGGAATATGCAAACCCTCGCGCGCGCTTATAGTTTGACGTTTCTAACTACGGCTAACTCGAATTCTACGTACGTCCGTTTACACCCACTAAAAAGAGCATTTCCCTATCTGTAATAAGTGCGATAGACAGAGATAGGAAATAAATCGCGTTCAGTGTAACTCAGTCTATGACTGTTATAGATCCTATCGATGTGCAAAGAGAGCGGCACATCATTTAACATAAGCAAATAATATTGAACCGTTATAAAAATCATTTTAAGTTTTATACACTTTACGGTAATAGTGTTTCTATATTATGTATGAATCACTATCTATATTTTCGGCCGTCGAGTATAGTTGTGTACTTTAAAATCCATATTATTTAATTTTATTGTAAACATTGTCCCGATTTATACTTAATAAATAAAAACAAACGATTTTAAAAAAGTCCTCAACAAAGCAAATGTTCGGAAATTAACTTTATTTTCAAAACTGCAAATAGCGAAATTATATTAGAAACCCTTTTATTTGAAATCTAGCAACATATGTCAAATCTACATCTCTTGAATTAACTAAATTATATTTTTTCCGATTTTGATCATCGGAATTATAAGAAAACAAAATCGCTTCGATTTAATTATATATTTACTAAAAATGACGGTATATTTACCTCAAATATATATGAGACATAAACAATATACCTACAACATTTTATTAATCATATGCATGGCGCCATCCTAGAATTAATTTGATTCTTAATCGTTTCACAGTCGTGCTTAGCTCATTTCTGTTGACAAGGTTCATATTTTCTTCAGGATCAATAAAATGGTCATACAATTCTTTTCCGTAGGTGTTACTCCAATCAACAGTAAAATTATTAGGAAAAAACCTAATCCACTCTGTATATCTATATCTCTGAGTTTTAATAGAATAGCCCATAATTTTTATATCCTTCAAATGGGGTTTATCGCTGTTAGGTTCAACAGACGGGTGTATTCCTGGGCGTGGATACTGTGTAAAAACCGCCGATTTTTTCGTAGAAATCTACAAACATGTATGGTATAGATGTGGTACCTAAGTCTGTGACTGGATATACTGGGTGTACAGAAGATGGCAGGCAAACTGCTGGTATTTAATATTACGTGATACTTATTTTGCCGCATAAAATGATCAATATTTGTTTTCATGTATTTATTATATTATTACAATTAAGATACCTATGTGGGAAACAGTCTGGTATCCTCATTATTTGCGTTTATCTCGAAAATGATTTGTTATGCCGATATATCAAACAAGTTCTACTTTTTTTATTAAAAAAATACGAAAATTAAAAAAATGGGAAATGAAATGAAGAAATTATACCATATACATTTTTTTAGGGGCCAAGACTGTCGTGGGTGCTTTGTCCCTGGGCTTCCAAAATAGCTATCAGTAAATTGTACGTTAGCAGAAATAACTTCAAATACTTCAAACTTTTAACATCAAGGGAGTTAATAGCCTACACGATGAGTCTGAATTAAAAAAATATACCTATATTTTTCGACATTATTTTTGTGAGAGAGATTGTCTACCATTTCCTGGATACCCTGTATATCACTAATTCAGGCAACTGGAACACTTCAACTACAACTATTTACAGACCTTATTTTGAATATTTTTTATCATTATTGGTACCAAACTGAGTCCTTCGGTACAAACAATTGATGTATCGTTTGAACAAACTTTTAATGGTTGAGCCACCTGAGTTAAATCAACTAGTGTTGGAAAAATATCTACCAGCTCTACCAAATTATCACAAACAATTTTTTTCTCAGTCAAGTGAGGTACGCGAATTAATAGTGGAACTCTTGTTGCTTCTTCAAAATTGCTATATTTTGCAAATTCTCCATGTTGTCCTAAAGACCAACCTAAGAAATAAAATCATATTTTTAAAAACCTTTCTTAATATTTTATAGACTTTGAGCACGGCATCATGCAATAAATTTTCAATAAAAAAGTATGTACATATAATTAATTCATCTTTGAGCATGTTTGTCGCTAATTTTCTCATTTTCTTTCAACTAAAACTCTGGATCTAGGTACACCAAGTGCAATTCTAGTTGAAACTGTATTTCATAAAGGGAGAGAACTGATATTTAATAAAGAAGTTTAATTTCCTAAAATTCGATCACTTTTATGTTTTGTTTGACACTGGTTTTATCGGATTTATAAGCTACGCCTTTTATACCTTTAACTATATATGGCCTTCCATTTGAATTAGGTACATCATAGGTATCACATATAAATAATAACGTATTATCATTATTATTTCCTGAAAATAACTTATTTATTTCATATTTCATACCGTGGTCAGAAGTAAGGACAATAATAGTATTCTTATCCACTTCATTTAGTAATTTTCCAACTAGATCATCGATATACGATGTAGCGGCATTATAGGCCTGAATAATTTCCCTTATAGTTTCATCTGGTAGAGGACCATACGGAAATGGAACATTTATTTTTTTTATATCTTCCCTTTCTCTTATATCGGTCCAAGGATTCCATGCCACGTCTGGTAATAAAGAAGGCCTCCATCTGTTTGATGGTAAAGTAATGTTTTTTAATGGGTGGTAGTCTATAAGCATTAAGAACGTTAATGTGAAATAAAAGCCGGTCCTGTAATGCAGGGGCGCAACCAGAAGTTTGGTGGAAACTGAGACGAGACTTTTAAGATTACATAAAATTAATAAAAAAACTAAACTTGTACAATCACAAAAAAATAATTTTGGGTATTGTACAGAATTGGGAATACCTATTCCACGACGGAACGAAAGTTTTGGGGCGGGGGAATTTTGTTTATCCCTGTTTCCTTCCACGTTTCTTACGAAAAAAATAAATAAAAATTCTTTCGTTTGTGAAAATTTTTTTGCTTTATAAATATGAATTTTAAATTAATACTGACTATATTTTAATATAGTACATTTTACAATCATAGTCTTACCTAGATACTGAAGAGGAAATCTGAAAGGTATATGAGGTTTATGGAAACCAACAGCCAGAAAGAATGGCTTAGTAGTTATTTTATTTTTATTCCTTAAAAAATATAAGGATTCATTCAATGTTTCCAAATCTGGTAACGTTTCTTTAGGCTGTAGATCAACAATTACAGGACACAATAAATTTTGAGCTAAAGAACCATCTTTATCAATACAAACTTTAGAATTTTCATATACTTCTGTTTTTGGATGGAAAGGTTTTGCACTCCAGCTGTATGGACAATCATCTGTAAAATTAGACGATATTCCTGGATGAAAGACTTTCCCTACTGAGTATGTATAGTAACCACTTTCTTTGAAATATTGAGGAAGTGTAGTAAAGTTGCCAACGGTTGCCCTCCAATAATTATAAAAGTCGTATAAATGTAGCGTATCAGGCCTTCGACTGGTTAAAAGGGAATTACGACTTGGTGCACATAATGCTTGCTAAAAAAATACTTTAGTGTTTATTTGAATTTGGTTTTATGAATCAATCATAATCAATATCAAACGAGGAGGAATTCTTTAAATAAACAAATTTATTTTATATAGGATATAGAATAGACTACTTTTATGCGTATACAGGGTGTTTCAATTAAAACTTCCCACCTGGAAAATATCGGAATTAAAAAAAACCTGAGACACGTCGATTTTCTATTCAAGGGGGAGAGGAATGTGTAGTCAGATAACACCCGAAACGCTTTGAAATGTTAATTCGGAAGTGGAGTAAAGATTTTATTATTGTAGGGAAATGAAGGGAAATCAATTTGAACATTTAATAAAACAACATTCTTCCATTGTTATTCTTTAAGTGATTATTTTATTGTCATATCCAAACCAAAATTTAAAAAGTCGTATACGTCGTCGTAAGCTGAATAGAAAAAGTTTTAAAATGAGGTGTCACTCAACATATATATATATATAGGGTGTGTCATTTAAAGTTTAAGGATATTTTACGCCCCTGCCTAAGGGAGCTTCCAATACACCAAAACTTAGGCCATCACGTGTCCCCCTTGAGAAGAAAATCGAAGTGTTTCAAATTTTTTTTGTTTTTATTTTTATACATTATCTTCGCATACAAGTATTTTTCGAATGTAATCATATGCAGGATTGAGGGGGTGCAATCTCTCTGGGTTTTTCTTTTAGGAGTGGGGGGTGTAAAATTTTTCGAGAGATGTTTGCCCCCTTAATGATCTGGGCGAAATCCCGCCTACGAATGTAATGAACATTACTTATGAATACAATTATGATGTTTGATCCATATCTCGATGTGGATATAAGAAGTATATACGGGGTTAACATTGAAAGTGGGTCAAACAACATGTAGCAAAATCAAGTTTCGTTTCGTATCGTTGGCTTAAACAGTAGATAAGGTAACAATTGGCAATACTGATAAACGCGCACTGCGCGCATGTACAAGCAAATTCGGGTGATGCTCAGTAGCGGCGTAGACAAAGTTCAAATGCAGTTTAGAAAACGAAAACGAATTATAACTTCGTTATTTGATTGAAAAAAAAACAGATTAGTACTCTGTGGAACATGTACTACGAGGGTGGTCTGAAAAGTTTCCGACCTCAACATGAAGATGGCAGCACTCGTAAATAAAAGCTAGTGAATTTCGTTGTTCATCTGTTGACATTGACAGTTACTCACCAAAGTTTCAGCCATTTTGGACGCGCAGTTGTTATGTAACAGTCTTCTTCTTTTTCTTCTTCTTCTTCTTCTTCTCAATTGATGGCCTAACATTTATATGTATTTGGCCAGGTTCACAGTTCACACTTTATTCTATAACACATTATGTAACAGTCGTTTGAGTGAGTTGATGTGAGTGTTTTTATGAAAATTGACAATATCGAGTATCGAGCTGTCATTAAATATTTGTTTTTGAAAGGCAATACGCCTACGCAAATCAAAGATGAGTAGGATTCTGTGTATGGGGACTCTGCACCATCATTTACCACAGTGAAATTTTGGGCAGCTGAACTTAAACGTGGCCGTAAGAGCTTGGGAGACGATGAACGTTCGAGACGTCCAAAAACTGCAACTACCGACGAAAACATCGCCAAAGTTCACCAAATGGTGCTAGACGACCGCCGAATTAAAGTGAGAGAGATAGCAGAGGTTATGAACATGTCAAAATAACGTGTTTGTCACATATAAAATCAACATTTAAACATGAGAAAGCTCTCCGCGCGTTGGGTGCCGCGTTTGCTCACGTTAGACCAAAAACGTGTTCGAATGAACATTTCCAACGCTCTGTTGGCGCAGTTTAGGCGCAATAAATCCGAGTTTTGGCGCCGATTAATTACTGTAGATGAAACTTGGATACACCATTATACGCCCGAAACAAAAATACAGTCCAAACAGTGGACTGCAAAGGGGGAACCGGCTCCAAAAAAAGCAAAAACTGTTTTTTCGGCTGGGAAAGTGATGGCGACTGTTTTTTGGGATAGTCATGGAGTTATTTTAATCGATTATCTTCAAAAAGGAAAAACCATTACAGGAGCATACTACGCATCATTACTTGACAAGCTG